TTCCTTTCCTTTCCTTTCCTTTCCTTTCCTTTCCTTTCCTTTCCTTTCCCTTCCCTTCCCTTCCCTTCCTTTCCTTTCCTTTCCTTTCCTTTCCCTTCCCTTCTTTTTTCTTCCTTTCTCCTTCCTTTCCTCTCCTCCCTCTCCCTCTCCCTCTCTCTCTCCCTGTCTTGCCCTCTCCACTACAGATGAAAACCTGGGCCCCTCTACCACTGAGCAATGAATGTCCCAGGTCATTTCCTCCTTAAGGTGACAGATTAACTTGTTATTTAACATGCTGTAGGTGTGACTTAGAATGGCTGTTGCAGAAAGAGCCTGATACAGTATGCAACCTCCACTTTCCTGCTCAAAGAAAACAATGATTAATAATGTAGCAATCACATTGATTCCAAACAATATTGTCAAGACTACAGTAAGCCATTTGACTTTGGGACTGTGAGTAGCTCTGGGGCTGATTGCCTGGCTCCCCCTTTCAGGTGTGAGCACACATGCACAGGTGTGGGGAGGCACACAGGCAGAGGAGGCCAAGTCTCACTGGAGATGCCTGCATAGAACCTGGTGCCCCAGGCCTGTCCCCGGGCCATGCAGCAGGCCAGGGACTCAGGTTTCAGCAAGCCTGCGTGTGGCATTTGCTCTCTGGGCTCTGAGGGGAAAACAAGGCTACACCCATTCATTTTTTCTGCTCTCTTACATGGTATGATCAAAATATATGGTGAATGTTTAAATTAAAAAATAAATTACAGTAGAAAACATAATCTCCATCAAAACACTTGACCTTACTTCAAATGCACTTATCCCATCATTCCTTTTACTTTCTGAATACTCCTGGAAGTCCTGCTTCATGAATGTGTTTATAAGGTGTGATCAGAAATATGGTGAAAGGTGCTGTCCAATGGAAAAGCAGGCTCCTAAAACCAAGATTGTGTGTCCTTGGCCACCTTGTTCACCAGATCCGGCATGGTGTGACTTCCGGCTCTTTCCCAGTTAGAATGGCCACAAAAAGTAAACGTTTTGAATCAGTTCGGGACATCAAGGCTGCCACAAGAGCACAACTAAAGACATGCACAAAAGAAGACTTTCAGAGCAGCTTCAGAAAGGGACAAGAACCATGGGATGAGTGTGTTCAAAATGAGGGGGAGGACTTGGAGAGGACAATGTCTTTTTTACTGTTATAATTTCTTAAAGAAACATTTTAAATGTTCCCCATATTTATCAATCATATTCCATATGTTTCCTAAATTCCTAAGTAAGTAAAAGTCCAACTCAACTTCTCACTTATTTTAGGGGGAAGGACTAGAACTGCAGTCACCCCTTACCACCATCTGCTTGGCATGCAGCGGTAATCCTTGGGATATTTCCTGAGTTTCACTTTGTTTTGTCTGAAGAACCATTCCTGACATGAACAGACTGAGTGACTAACTGTGATTTTTCTTGTAGTGACTTCAGATTTTCAGTCTCTTCACTTCACCCGCAGAGTGAGCTAACTGCACTCTACCATCTGAAATGTTACAGTCTGATCAAACAAGTTAAATTAATAAAGTCGAAAGTGCTTCCCAGCGAGGCAGACACCTTTTCATACGCTGTGCTTTTATTGCTCTTCCCAGCTGATATTTATAACTTGGCCATATGTGGTTATAAAGATTTATTATGCGCTGGTGGAATAAGTTCTGTTAATGTGTACAGTAAATGTCCAAGTTTCACTCGGTGAGCCCTGGAGATTTCCAATAAGATGAAGCCGTTCTGATCGTGGGCCAGGTTGTGTGGAGCTGGCACAAGGCCGCATATTGACAAAGGGCTTAGCTATGTACCGTCGCCGGCGCTCACCCTGCGTGTGGGTTTGCGGTGGTGCTTGCCCAGCTCAGGTAGGTGTTTTTCTTCTTCACCCCATCCTCATCCGAGAAGAGCTGAAGTTGGAGAATCTGTTGACGAAAAGTTGAAATGGAAAATTTTAAGACCATAATTAAAGGCTGGGCTGCAGAGGCTGGCAGAACCGGCTTGGGAGGAAGGTGAATGGGCCATCTGTGTGTCCCCCAGCCTCACCTGGGCAGTGAACCTAAGCTCAGCACCTCTTACATGGCCAGGGTGAAGGGGACAGGACCCCACTGTGTCCTCTGACACACTTCCCTCACTGGGAGAAGCCTCTGTCACTCTTCACAGAGGCTTGTGTTTTTCGGTTTTTAACGGGTACATTATTTAAGTGAATACTTGCCATTTAAGGAACAGAAAGGTGTCTCAGTGTCTTCGAGCTGCTGTAAGAAAAGAGCACAAGCTGAGTGAGGTGTAAGCACAGAGATTTGCTTCTTATGGTTCTGGGGGCTGGGAGCCCAAGGTCCAGGCATGGCAGAGTCCCCGTCCTGTGGGACCAAAGGACACCTTTTGCTCTGTCTTGCGGGGAAGCAGTAGTGTCCCTCTGGGGACTCTGTTATCCACTCACATCCCATTCACAAAGACCTCGCCCTGGTGACCCAGGGGCTGCCCAGAGCCTCACCCCCTGTTCCATGGCCATGCAATGTGTGAATTGGGGGTGGGGTGGGGACAGGGGGGACAGACCTTCAGACCAAGGCAGTCCTGAAGTCAAACACTGAGAATAGGACCGTGCCCAAAGCCTCCAGGGTGCCTCAGCCTTGGAGGACTCGAGCCACCCAGGAGACTCTCAGGACTCTAAAGGTGCATTTTCCTCCTCCTCCTCCTCCTCCTCCTCCCCCTCCTCCCCTGCCAAGGGCACGGGGGTTTTCTTAGAAGGCCCCCAAGGCACTCTAATGTGCAACCAGGTGACAAATTGTGGTGTGAGACCTCTTCTAGCTTGGCCCCCAAACTAGAAATGGCCCAAAATGACTTCATAGAAGTCGGGGCAGGGGCGGAGCTTACCAGAAATGGTGTCATGGAGCTAGTGTCAGCACCGCATCTGTGCACCTCTTTCTAAGTCATGCACTCCCAGGAGTGCCCTGATAGTGATGTCCATGTAGATGGCTTCCTCCCCAGCCCTGTCTCCGTCCGATCTGTGAGGGGCCAGATCAGACCTGGCCTCACTCATTAATCCTAAATATTCCTGTATGGTGGTTCAGAGTGGGACCCTACGGTCATCAGCACTATCAGACGATGTTTGCACTCGTCACAAATCAGCTGACACATCGGTTTGCATGTTCCGCAACCTGGAAGGACACTGGGGAGAGTCTACTGCTCTCTATCAGTTCCTTTGCAGCAGAGGATATGCTTATGGGATGGCAGTCACCTCCCAAAGGGACAGCAGGGGGCCCTATGAGACAGAAGGCACTCATGATTGAACAGCAGGACCTTTCCCAGCCATTGCATCTATAGGACATACGTGTCTCAAATGTACATCCCTATGTCTGCTGCCACCACCATCTCCCTGGCCACACTTATCTTGACAATAAATGACCCAAAGTCCTGTGACGACCTTCTCTGAAGTCAGCCTCTGCCTGAATTTTGTCACCTGGCTCTGCCAGCCTCTACCTTAGGCTCCTTAGTACCTTTCCCAGCATTAAACATAAAACTCCAAGTCCTCACCCTGTCGCAGGCATGGTTACATCACCCGCCCAGTCAACACTGCTTCCTGTCCAGAGCATGCTCACACCCCAGCTCCACAAGATAAAAGATCATGAATGAGTCACCTAGCCTCTCTGGCTTCCTCCTTGGTGAAGTGGAGGTATATCGGGGACCTTGCACGAGGGATACTGAGGGGTACAGCAAAAGGATGAAATAAGAAATAGAAACAAATTTAGTAATGCATGATGGTGGGCTGGGAGGTCAGTACCTCAGGACAGGCAGACACAGTGACACTCTGGGCTAGCCACTATTTATAGGGTATATACAATAATCGAAGGGGTTGGGTGACTCAGAGGGTGGCAATGACCCTCTGCTAATGAGGATATTTATATTGATGAGGATGGTGGTGAGAGATGGCAGGTTAAAAAGGAATTTGTCCTTTCTCCAAGGTGAAACCCTATTTTTATTACCTCTGGGTTCTTAAGGAACCAGGATGCCTTCAGCTGATGTAATCTTGTCCTGGGGCATCACAGCATCACAAGACCATTGAGGCCTCAAGTGTGATTGGAGGCACTGGGAGAGTTATGTTCCTGCATACCCTAGCTGCCCACATGGTAGGGCACGAGGTCCAGGACAAGCCCTAATCACAATTTAGTTATGAAATGATTTCCCCAAAAATTATATAGAATGGTCTATACTGAAGGTAGTGGTATGCATCTTTGGGATGTGTAAAGCACACAGCTGTGTTTCCCCACAGAGCCTCAGCAGCATCAGCCTAGCACACCTGTCTGGGTGTACACCAGCCCTTCCTGTAAAGTTTTGCCAGGTTGCACACCACGGATCATGTCTGACAGTTTTTGTGTTACTGGTCAAGGAACTGCTCCCAGGGGCGGCAGCTTGCATACTTCCCTTTAGCTCAGGCTCTGTCCTCTCTCTCTCTGTGTGTGTGTGTGTGTGTGTGTGTGTGTGTGTGTGTGTGTGTGTTTTCTGAATGGGTGAGGAATGTGAGCTCCACCATCCTATGAAGGTGTAGAACCTTCCTTTGGTGATGCAGGTAACACCAGACTTGCCTGCAGTCTCCTGGACATCTGAATATATGTTGATAAGAAATATAATGACACAGAGCATGCAAAAAATCCTTCGGTGTGAAGAGGAAATTCACAGCCAAGAGGAGGAAGATCTCTTGTGTGTCTTCCATCAGAGGACAGTCAGTGTCCTATTGGCCATGGCACAGGGAAGCAGGCAGAGAGGAGCTCACCAGACAGACCACTCTTTC